AAAATAGCTCCGGCTCTTGACCAGCTCCCCATGCAGAGCTCTTTCCAAAACAGACATTTAGCACAGCTCCTGCAGGAGCCGGAGCTGATGCCCTACAGGTGTCCTGCCAAAGAGTGCTCTTACTCTCTCCCTTCACGGGCCAATAGAAGCTCAATCATCTCTGCTAGTGATTTCACGACTGCTGGGGACGCCCTTATATAGTACGAGTAGAATGCCAGTGACAGCACATGCTGTTAGGGTGTTTGAGTTTAGCTTTTACGCTTTTGGTTCAAAAACCGGTTTTCTCACTATTGGCAATCAGTTTTTGACTGTTGTTTGTAATAAATTTTTAGTTTCTCAGCGAACCAAAAGCCAGAGTTACCTTTGAACGTTTTTTCAGCTTTTAGTTCATTTTCTTATAAGCAAACTTTCGAGCTTTTCAAAAGCTAGCTCGACGTTTAATTGTTTGTTTCATTTTCTTGTTGACTGAAGCTACAAAAAAATGGAAAGAAACATGCCCTTATATTCTACCCATCCACTACTGCTTCTCTTCATCTTCTATTATCCTTTTTGAACACTCCACTGAGTTTATTATATACATTATTTTGTATTTTGCCTTGCTAGGTAAGAGTAGTTTCTGTCTCTTTACTAGTATTATGTTTGTCAAAAAAGAATGCAATTTTAGATTTGATCAAAACTAAATCATTTTAAGGTTGACTAAGTTTACAAAAATAGTATCAACATAGAGAACTTTGAATAGATATACTGTGAAAATATGTTCTATAACTAATCTAATAATACCTATTTAATACGATAAATATTAGTATATTTTTTAATATCAATTTGGTAAAAAAAACTTGACATACTGAGATGCTGTTTGGTTTGGCCCTAGGACCGGCAACGACAATGTAATGGGAAACCAGTGCCATCCGTTACCATGTAACTAAAACCGCGATTTGTTTTGTTGGCACCTCGAAATGGTTTCTGTTTGCCTAAGCAGCGTACGTATGCTGGATGGAGATCAGCAGCCTTTATCGGCAAGGATACGAGAGAGAAGTTGGAGACCTAGAGTCGTCGGTGCATAGGACTCCAAACTCGCGAGAAGGAGTCGCTCGCTCCTGCGCGCCCTAATCGAATAACACCCCCGTAGTTGAGTGGTAACCGCATTGCACTTCCACCTATCCGATCCCTCCATTATCGATTCCGGCTTAGTCTAACCATATATAAAGTTACCGGATCCGATGACGGTGAGAAACATTGTGGGGGGCAAAAACACCGAACCAAATAGCTCCTAAGGGCATGCGTAGTGGTGGATCGACTCACCGAGGCCACGCATGGATGCAACTGAGTCGATTCCATTTAATCTCCAGTGGTATACGACTCTTCTTGTGGGTCAACCAAGTTAAAAAAAACATTTCACTCCCTGAGGACACTCGCGTGACGACCTTCATTCCCTTCCTCCTCCTCTTCTTGCGGCAAGAAGGTTATTTTATTTGGTATGAATCGGCTCATGTTTGGTGGTTGGTTCATGACACACTGCATGTATCGGTCTACTTTAGCGTTCTTTGAATCAACCCATGCCAAATAAAATAATCTCATGAGTCGCTTTAAAAATGCTACCGGAGAAGCCCTAAGTACACTGATCTCACATGGGCATATGTGCCGCAGTGGATTCCGATCGATGCAAAGGATTCAGATACACGCATTGCAGCCTCCCATCTCGGTACAGAGAACACAGAATAGATATATTTAGGTATTCAGTGGAGTCCATATACCCATACGACCAATGAGTGCAGGTAAACTAAAAGGTCAGCAAGTATCTTATCATGTTGTAAAGCGTGCATGCATTGACACGCCCAAGAAGGGATCTGATTGCCGAGCTGGCTGTTCAATTTGTCTTCCATATCACACTGTATTGCCCCGTGATTTCGTCCCTGCAAAAAGACTCGCAACTCTCTGGAATTCGACCCGACGGTCGGGTCATCAGCAAGTTGCGTCGTCGTCAATAAAGAACTCGTGACGGCCGCCGTCTGCTTCGCATTCGCATGATCTCCGTGCAGATATGATGTGGAGAAAGGCAGCGGGAATGCATGCTGCTCATTTGGACGGCATGATTGCAGAGCTCGAAATGAGAGCAGCCTGTCTTTAAATATAGCTGCCGTCTTTTTAATTGCTAATGTAAGCGATGAATCGAGGTGTTGAGCAATGCAACGTGTTCACTACTGATTGGTGCAAAAAGGTTTGCGACAAGGACAACCATGAACGATTGTTAAAAAGAAAGAGATATCCGAAGTGAAGCAAATTAAAGGACCGAGAACACTGCATTTGTGTATTAAACATATTTAACCTAGAACTAGATCATGAGAAACGGATAGAAAACCAGTGAGATAAATTCAGCCCAATTTCAGGCATAATCAGAATCATCTGACACGATAATCATTATCAAGCACTATTATTAGCAACTATCAATTTGGGAACCAATGAACCAAGTAAGTCACAGGTGATATATTTTTTTTGGCAGAAGTAAATCCAATTTTGATAGAAAATAAATAAGAGTACACTAAACCCACACGACACAGGAAATGTGGATAGTTTAGTAAACACATACCAAAACTAACTTTAGAAAACTTGTCCAAATATGATGACAACACACCTAACTATAAACCGAAAGGGACAATCAACGAAGGCCCTTAACTTCCAGGTCTTCACTATAAACCTTATAGCATTATTAACTAGAATTATTTATGTGTTGACAGTGTTGTCATGCCAAGTAGGTTAATTAGATAAGTACGTGAAGTCATGTTTCTTGGTTCTATGTGTCGATGTTTCTATCTTGTCTTTTCGTATCTCGATCATTATCGACATATTCTCATTCAAATTGTTCCGTTTTCAATTTTCAGTGAATCCTATTTCTGCTCCGTTTTCGGTCTTCCCGACTTCGTTTTTTTAGTTTTTGTAATAAAAATATATAAGTGAAAATATGAGAGGATTTATCCTGACCGACCTTGTTCATTTTCATCCCTACCAACAACTACTAGATAAGTTGGAAAACGAATAGTAAATTGGTTGCTTCACACAAATTCCAGAATTAGCATCATCCGACAGGGTACGCAATATTATGAAGCACTGTTCAAAGTGACATATGCACTTTTGAGGGACACAACAGTGGAAGCTATTGCTTTCACCGCCAAGGAATGAAGCTATTGCAACAGGACTACAGGAGACATAATTTCTCATGCTTCCATGCCAACACCAACACGCACTAAACTGGTCGGTACTGATCTAGAATTAAATTTGTGTGCAGAAACAGAGTCACGTTAGTGACACACTACAGTTTATTTTTTTATTTATTTATCATTTTTTTTGTTAAAATAAAACATTCCGTATAGATCTCTCCTTTTTTTATGATGAATCGTTACTTCCTCCGTACCAAATTATAAGTTGTACGTTTTGTCTTTTTAAAATATATAATTTTTACTATACACTTAGATATAAAATATATCCGTATAAGAAAATATTGTATCTATAAAAGCCAAACTGTCTTATAATTTGAAATAGATGGGGTTGACTTTTAGCTCTTATTAAAGCGAATGCAGTGGCTTATTACTTAGTAAATACTATAATATAAAGATAATAGACAGGTGGCTTAGCTTTCGTGGCCTTCAAAATTAAAGTTGAACAAAAACTCTGAAAAAAGAGCTGTGAACAAATAGCCAACCAAACTAACCACTACCAGATCACAGTATCACTGTTAGAGGAGCTACCATTTTCCCTCAAATGGCTGACCAAGTTACGGACGCAAATATGTACTTTGCATGTTAATAAGGCAACCACGCATGTATGCATGCCATGCTGCAAACTGTAATCAATAATCATGTCACTTTAACTGGTTATGTTCTTGTGTTGCAACTGCTTTGATACTTTATTAGTTCTTCTTTGTGGGTTCTTGCCACGCTAGCAATAGTATATACCAAGATGAGACACTGTGCATGTTGAAAGTCTCTGACACGTTGCCAAGCGGGAGTATCCGAAACACAAGTGTCAATTAGCTAGCGACGTGCTGCGTGCCGAAACTGCGTGTCGCTCTGATTCCATCAGTGATTCATCGTGTCGGAACAAGATGCCAGTTATAAACACACAGTTTAGTGATGCTAATGCATGCAAACATGAACGCCACGTAAGTGATGATGACTGGGTTGTTCCTGACGCAGCAAAGTGCAGACAGGAACAGGACTACGTAGCTCCTGTATTAAACTGAGCACATGTCTCATCGCCCGCCGCATTTTCTGATCAGATAGATATCAGTTTTTAACTTGCTACCAATGCAATGCAACTTGTAAATTATCAGTTGAGAAATGAGATCTGTTTACTGCTAATGGATGGGACACAAGAAGGTCTGGAACACGGACAGCCTAAAACTGATGCTGAAAAGGCAGAAATGGAAATGTAGACTTCAGTGAGGATAGACCATTACACGCATTGAATTATTTGGAAACAGGAAACTGATTCTCTTTCCAGCATGTCTAAGGCCTTCGCTTTGCATATACAACTTCAAAAAAACAAAAAAGATTGCTAACTGAATTCTCCTTTTGCCTTACGACTATTCAACGCATATATAAGGAGAGACATGTAGTAAACTGATGAAATTGTCTCACAGGAATTCCAAAATTAGCATCATCTGACAAGGTACACGCATTATCAAGCACGGCTTAGTGTTACATGAGCTCCTGATGGTTACATGTAAGATGAAAAGAAGCTATCACTTTTACCATCGCTAGCTATGCTGCACCGTTGCAACTGCAACCAGAATTGCAGATGCTGCCATACTACCACCAACATGCACTAAACTTGCCGGTACTGTTCTGCAGCTAAATTTGTGTGCAGAAACACTAGTGACGCACTGCAGGTTTTCAGCTGGCTTTTTTTGTATGCACACTAGCTTGGATATATCAGTTCTAAATTGGTGTTAGCAGTACTATTAGCAGATGGTGCAAGCAAATACTTTCTTGCTTTTTATCTGATTAGCAGCAGATGGTGTTAGCAGTACGATTAGCCAGAAGAGGTGCTTGCTCTGCCTCCTCATCAGGCTGGCCTGAAACAGCAATTTCGGAGCATTTGTCCTCTCTTTCTGGAGTAAGCGTCCAAGCGAAGCATAAGGAGATTGCCTGTAAATGTATTTAGCATTAGAAAAACTCCCATGTTTAGATATCCAGTTGTAAAGCCATATTAACCATACTGCAGAGGAGAAAAGGTTCTAACCAAGAAGAAACCAGCCATAAGGAAACTGAATCCTCTGCAGTTGAAGGGGGCTTCGGGTGAAATGCAGTAAGCTGAAAGACAAGCATGGAAAAGGATAAGACCAGAATACACTCAATATAGAATGGAGCGTGTAGAGTCAGTCCATAGGATTAGGAATTATGAATTTGTAAAATAGTGCTAACAAGTCAGTGGGCTCATGTATAGAGGTGCCAGCAATGTAGCCATGGACTGCATGGTTCCGACGAACCCTTGTGCCTTTCCCTGTGAATTGTTTAAAAAAAAACAATACTATGCCAGTAAGACAGAAGATTAGGCTAAAAGGTTTCATTCTTCAATTACCAAAACAAAACAAAGACATGTAGCGTCTGTATGGGTACCTGGTCAGTTGAAAGTACTTCCCCAGAAATTATTGCATAGGTCTGCAGATATGCATTAAAGATATGAAGGCACGCCGAATCGGCGGCCTCCCAGGGTGTCCACGTACGTTCTTTTTATTTGCTGCGTTAGATAGAGATTCCACGGCATAGATGAGGCGCGTCACAACCGGCCTTCATCCGTGCATTCCGCAGTAGATAGATGAAGCAACTGCACGCATTAAATGAAGTACGGCTTCCTCTGATCGTAGGCGGCATGCAAATGGACGGTGGCGCGTAGCAGAGAAAGGTGGATTCTCGACATGCATGGTCGGTGCCTAACTAGTGGGCGGCACGCATGCGTGCATACATACTGCTGGGCCTTGTTTGCTTTGCGGAGCTGGGCTCCACCATGGTCGTCACACGTAAAATGGTGCTCCTTCATCTTTCTCTCTCTCGAGTGAATGGCAGGCGGCAGCAGCTCCGCTCCTCCCCTCCTCTCTCTCCTCTCCGCGCTCTCACTCTCTCCCTCGCTCCTCGTCGCGACCGCCGAGGCTCCCACCTCCCAGGCGCTGGCGCAGCGGCGTCCCCCCCGACGGCGCGCCATGGTGCGCCGTCCAACGCCGGTGGCATGGCGTCGAAAGCCCCTCGCTCCCCGCGCTGCTCCGGTGACTCCGTGGCCGTATCCGTCGATCTACCCACCAGATCCGGTGCTGGTGCCGGTGAGGTCATCGCTGGCAGCTAGGTTTGAACTCGCCCAGGTCAGGTATCACACCATTGTCCTCGTTGTCCTTCTCTGCATCTTCACAATACCGTGCTTCAAAGATTTGGTTTTCTTTGATGTGGCTATCGCGCGCGGTCGGTTGGCGGCGACGGCCTCGCATTCTGCAGTGGAAGGGCCGAGAGTCGCTACGCGGAACCCTAGCCTCGACCTCTATCTCCCTCCGGCCACAACTGTTCAGGTAGGAATCTCCTTTCCTCATCGTTCCTCGGGTGGTTCGTGCCCCGCTGCCTTCTAGATTTGTTTTCTTGTGGGGTATCGTGTCGGGTTGTGTAGATGTGGATGCGGACGCGGACGCGTCGGGGGCTGATTTGCTGATTAATTCTTCCCTTCTTGCTTTGTTGGTAGGTCAGCGGTGAAGGATGAGCAGGCGCTGGAGCCGCACGATCTACGTCGGCAACCTCCCCGGCGACATCCGGGAGAGGGAGGTGGAGGATCTGTTCTAGAAGGTGGGGAATTTTTTTAATTGTTTGATTCCTTGCTACCCTATTAATCATTAGCAAAGAGCGCAACCCGTCTTACAGTATTAGGCTGGGCTCACTTGCTGTGTGCTTCTTAGATTCAGTACCTCCGATGCTTATACTACTTTCCTAATGCAATAGGATGCGATGCACTCGCTGCGTTCTTATGGCCTTGCCCATAAATCGTAGAAAACTGGTGGCTTGGATAACCTTGTGCTATCAGGGTCCACCAAGTTCCTCTGCTACATTCACTATGAACCTCAAGCTATGGCTTGCGCTTGAGAATGTTGCTTATAGTTGTTGTTCATTTGAAAGGTTGCATGGTTTTATACTAATAATGTCCAATTTTATAAAACTTGTGAACGCAGTATGGTAGAATTGTTGACATCGACCTGAAGGTCCCCCCAAGGCCACCTGGTTATGCTTTTGTTGAGGTAAGATTCATGTGAATGTGTTGAATAACATGGTCATCTTTTCCCCTCAAAAGATTATCGTGTTTTGGTTGATGACTTTGGTCACGAACAGCAAATTTAAGGTACTTTGCTAATCTTGTAGTTTGAAGATCCTTGTGATGCTGAGGATGCAATTGCTGGGCGGGATGGATACAACTTTGATGGACACCGTCTAAGAGTAAGCTAATCAGTGCTCTGATAAGCTACATGATTGCTCTCTTTCTCTTCAATCTGTTGATCCAATGCCTACTTCTGTGGTCAGGTGGAGGCTGCTCATGGTGGTAGAGGTAATACTTCCTCGTATGATCATTCAAGTGGCTTTGGTGGTGGTGGTGGAGCACGTCGTGGTGTGCCGAGACACTCAGAGTATCGTGGTATGGTTTCTATTCATGTTGAACATCAGTGATTGCTCTTCTCTTCTCTGTCTGCAACCTTTAACTTGAATCATGGCAACAGTTCTTGTCACTGGACTGCCTTCTTCTGCATCATGACAGGATTTAAAGGTCTGAGGCAAAACTTTTTCCCTCGTGTTCTTCCATAAGACTGTATTGTTTGTCTCGTTAACACCAAATATATTCTTCCCAGGATCATATGCGGAAGGCTGGTGATGTTTGTTTCTCTGAAGTGTATCGCGAAGGCGGTGGTAAGTAGCATTTGGGTTAAAGCCGCTGCCTTTATTACAATTTGGAAATGTTCAATAGAAATATTTAGAAGCAGAGGTGCACAAATATTTTTGTGGTGCATTTTTTTTCAAAAGCAATAAGGTTTGATCTTTCTGCCCCTTTGGTGTCATCGTCGTGACAAAACTAATGGCACATATCCTGTTACATACTGGGGATCCATATATGGCTATACGAGGTGCCCTGTGTTCCATTTTATTTTTCTCTTAGTATTTTCATTTCTCAGAACAGGAAACTATTAGCTCTTGATATTTTTAAATATTGATTGATAAAATACTAACTGTTTAGTTAAAGGTAATTTAGGAACGGTTGAAAAATGCTTGGGATTGCAAGAATGATACTGCCACAAGAAAGTTCAAGCTTGCTTGGGTACATAATAACCCAATGTACTACAGCAACAATTTTAGCATGCTAGCACCACTTGAATGGATCAAATGTATTGGGACAATTACTAAAGCTCATAGCCATTATTGAAGTAATGTGCTTGCCATACTTAATCCCTATGATTCAAGCAGCTTGAGGGATATTGCGTTCAAAATTTGCAAATGGACTTATTTTGTTGGTGAAACTGTAAGTTGCCCACAATTTATAGGGACATTCATCACACATCCTATATTCTCAATCCCCATAAAAGACCATCGTTTCATCAATAATCTCTCTCCCCTTGATCTGGAATACGGACACGTCCATTTTGATGACTTCTTATCAAGTTTTAGAAAGAGCACCTACTTAGCCTTCCCATATCTGATGTGTCCAAAAAAGTACTCATCATTGCTGTTTATTCTAGGATTTGGGCGCATATAAATGCCACATAACATGATTACTAGCATCTCTTATTATTTATTGTGAAGGTTTATTTCATTCGATTGCTTGGTTTTCAACCTTATTTTCTTCAAGGAATATGATGTAAAGCTATCTATGTTCTTAACACTTCTTTTCTTTTTCAAGTTCTTATCATATATTTCTATTTTGTTACAGGCACCAAAGGAATTGTGGACTACATGATTATGATGATATGAAATATCTTTGTAAGTCCATAATACATTCCCTTCCGTCTTAGGGTGAATCATTTCATTCTATAGTTTTTTTTCATGTATCTACTTTTGACCTTCTACAATCCCTGATCTTTGATTGCTTCCCTATCTGTCATTGTTAGTTCGATCTCTTCTACAATAGCCCTAAAAATGTGCTCTTAATGCTTTGAACTATGCTCTTGTCATTGACAACCCGTTGTAGATAAAGAAGCTGGATGATACTGAATTCAGGAACGCCTTTGGGCGAGCCTATATAAGGGTAAGCATCGCATCCTGTTGCTGGTTTAGTCCTGGGGATCATTTATGTAGTTCGTTGTTAAGCATGCACCTTATTCTTTACAGGTGAAGGAATATGATGCCAAACGTGGTTGCTCCTACTCACGTCGCCGAAGCCCAAGTCGTAGCTACAGCAAAAGCAGGAGCCCGAGGTATGTTGCGGTACTGAGATGTCATGGGTAACCTTGTTGATAACTAATACTAACACAGAATATACTTTGCAGCAAACCACCCAGGACTCGCCGTTCAGCATCTAGATCCCGGTCGAGGTCTGTTTGTTCCCGTTCAAGGTCTGCATCAAAAGGACGTTCTCCGTCTAGGTAACATACACTTTTCTAGCTTTTGCGCTTTGAATCCTTATGTGTCAAGTTCTTTTCTACTGTTTTGTCAAAAGCACAATATATATGCATTAGTAGAATATCTGGCCAAATTACAAATATGCCTACTTCAGTATCGTAATTACCCATTTGCCTACTCTGGGCCTTTCCCCCCAAAGATTGCTGCTGTTTTTAGCCTAAAAACAGTGGTTAACAATCTTTACTGAAGTATCATCTTTGTTCTGTAACCTTCATTAGTCCGAATATTTGGTATCTAATCATTCTCTAATAAGCAAATCGTTAAGTTCAAAGTTAACACGCTTACACTCCCTGCATGTATCAATGATGATGGCTTGCTTGTCACGGGTCTGATTTCTTTGGGGTTCCTTCTCAAGTGCTCGGACTCTCAATGAACGATATGACCTGCTTAGTCTGTTTTGTTTTGTTTTTGAAGACTCAATTATCTCGCCCTTTTATCTGGATTGTGCGGTCATCCGGGGATTGTGCATTAGGATATTGAGGATGGGATTTCCATGATTTGCTACAGTTCAGTTGGTTTTGTAAGGTGTGGTTATTAATTGAGAGCTTGTATGGAAAGCTAAAATCGTCCCATTATTTTACCTAGTGTCCTGTGAATCGATTGACATCGAGCTTGGACATAACCGCATTGTTTGGAATACTTTGGACATAGGAGCGTTAAGGATTGGTGATCTGGATTATGGTGGTACAGTGACTAGGAATGTACTTGGAGTTCAATGCTTGGGGAATGAGTTTTCTTCCTACCTCGGGCACACTTCAGATGGTTGCTGTAGTTCATATATGCACTTTTGACATTATTATACAACAATGTTACACTTGCATGGAACTGAACGCTTCAATTTTCGTGAGCTTTTATTGCTTTCGTTCTACGCAGCGTCATGGCTTTTGGAACCAAGTTGTTAAAGATGCATTTTGGATGTTGAATCAGTTGTTTCTGGAACGTTTTGCAGATCACTAGCAAGATCCAAATCTCCTAATGCTTCGTAAGTTCCTTCATCATTTTGATAATATTTTTTGTTATTTTGTTGCTTAATTTTATATCTGCTAAAATGTCTATATAGCCTGCAAATGGTGAAGCAAAGAAGCCCCAAGAAGCAAAGTCCAAGCAGAGCCCATCTCGCTCACGCTCTCTGATGTAAAATGATTCTATTCTTATTTTCTGTACTTGTTAATAGCAAACACAAATTGAACCGACAACAATTCGATCAAAATTTGCAGTGAAACCCTGAATAAAATTGATATGTCTTTGTCGAGGATTGCGAGATGGAGTCCAGAGATCTTCTTTTACGGACACTTGTCCTCCATATTGTTCTACTTCCATCTTTGTCTTAGCAATGCAGTACCAGATTCGATGATATTAACTATCAAGTATCAACTTGTATCGATGGACCCCTGTGTTTGTCACTTGTTGTGTTGAATAGTGCAATCGACGCGCCCATTTACTTTTACTTAATTTTATATTAGTGATTGTTGAATGCATGCTATGTGGATTTGTGCTATTGTTGACAGAATCATGTTGTTCTGGACCTCATGCATGTTTTCTTCATTTCGGTAATTTACTTGGTAGTTGCTGCAGATTATGCTTTTTCTAAAAATGTTGAAATAGGTTGGCATTTGGATAGGGTGCTTATGCGGGTGATTGATGTTGAGTGTGGAGTGTATTGTTGTGAAGGGGGAGCCGCGGGGGGGGGGGCTTTTCATAGGAGGTTGACGGCGGGTTTAGAGGGTGGGTGCACGCCATTATCGTAAGCACTGAGCAACATCGGGGCCTGAGGGAATCAGGTTTGTAGGGGACAACAGCGGTAGCATCGGGCCAATGGAGGTGACATCACGAGCGATGTCGTGGGGAGGTGGTGTGACGTGCGGTGGGTGGCGATGCAGAAGAGACAGCGGCGTGACGCTGAGAGGACAGCACCAGTGTGTGGGAAAAGGAGCGCGGGTGAGTAGCCACTGACGGTGCGCGCTGCTTTAATTTCCACGCGGTCTGCTGTGCACTTTGCTTGTTGCATTGGTGTGGAGTAAATGTAGCTAACTCGGGCGCACCCAAGCAATAGGGAAGTGCAGGCAGCATGGAAGGGAAACATTGGCGGGTCATGAGGTAGGGAGAGCGTTGGCCATGGTGTGCTCCCTGCACGAGCTTGGGTGGAGGGAGGAAAAAGGAGGGGAGAGGGGTTCGCTCGACGAGGAGGTGTGCGAGCTGCCGTGCCCAAAAAGAAGAAAAGGGACGGGTCTGGTATGGGGGCGAGGGCGAGAGCCGACAAAGTGTGGGAAAAGGAGAGAAAACGAACTGTGCGAGTGAACAAGGCGAGTGCGGCTTAGCCAAATGAGAGCTGAACGCAAGTGGGTCCCGGTCTCGACAGCGTCCGTAGGTGTCGATGCGTGCGTAGCGTGGTCAAACCAGACATTGGGATTGGGACATGACATCAATTTAAGCATTTCAATCACTCCAGACTACTCGAATACTAACTTTTCCTTGTTGCTCTTCTCTTTCTTCAGAAACTGTATTAACTCAGTTACTTCGAAAAAGCACTACTTCATCAACCCGTTGTGGATTTTCCGTTAGAACACAAGGATATTTTTTCAAAGGAGAATATTCTGTTGCGAGAGCGATACGGTGGTGTAACTTGGAAAAGGTGCCTGGTTAACCACCTCTATACCAGCGCGTGCCGAGCAGCCTCGCCATGTGGTAGCTGTTCCACAGGGGCCCTCTGTTTCGTTGTGGCACCATAAGCATTTAACTAGGCAACTTTACAAACTTACGCACGTCGGGTCGCTGTCACCGCGTGCCCCGCGCACGCCGTCGGTGTCGGGCCCATTAGCACCCTGTCCTCGCATGGCCGCGACATCATGCCGCACTCGCCGTCCTCGCGCATTGTGCGCCTCTACTTTTCTCGGCCTCCGGTCCGCTCTTGATACTCGCCCTCGTCCCCGTACCGGACCCCCTCCCTTCTTTCTTCTTTTGGGGACAAGGCCGCCCGCACGCCTCCCTCGTCGAGCGAACCCTCTCTCCTCTCCTTTATCCCCCCCTCCGCTCGCTTGCACAGGTAGCACACCATGGCCGGCTATATCCCCACAGCGTGAACCAACAGTGTATCCCATCCATGCCGTCTCCACTTCCGATGCGCTGCGCCACATCTCCGTTCGCCACTATAAGATGCCCTTGGTCCTTGCTCTTCTCCTCCATCCTCATCCCTCTCGAATCCAAAGCAGAGCTACAAGATCCAGTCGTCATTGTGGAACTAGGTTCGTCTGACAGAGGTGATGGTGTAATCTAAGAAGAAGGGATCTAGTTTTCAAAGAAGTTCAAGTCTACCGTTGGTTAGTTTGGTCTTAGGGTTCACGATGTTTGACTTCTCAGTCTCCTGTTTCTGGATCTGTTGGTCATACGCCATGTTTTGGATAATCATTATCTTGTTGTTTCTCCATTGCCCTCGTCTATCCCGACTTCTGGAGTAAGCCTTGGTTGTACTAGGTTGCTCCTGACCATGTAACTTTAAATCCCGGTGTAATTTAGTGTTCGACGCCGTGTAATCTTTCGTGTGATTTCAGATTTACGAAATGTGTTGTAGTTTCGCCTAAGGGGAGTGGATCCTAATTCACTCTTTTGTAAACCCTTGCGTTATGAGACATACTTGTGTTGTAGTTTTTGCTCTTTCCACCTATAATGTAATCCTAGCCAATGTTGTGCTTCGAATCTAAGTGTCTTGGTTGCTTGAGCCCAACTCCATCAAATACTTCTTTCCACTAATATGCCATTGATTTGCTGGCCTACAATAGGCACCATGTAATGACAACCAACCTCTATGTTCGTTTACAACATTGTAATAAAAAAACCATGTTACATTTCCTTCCCATATTTACCCGTTTAATGTACCAAACAGACCAACCTTTTGTACCAATGCGATGAGAAAACATACTAGACATATGAGCCACGTATACCAAGCACATCACCCGCAGCAAAGCGCGGGCAGCAGTGGCTAGTATTTATGACGCAAGTAAGTGTACAAGTATCACTTGAATGCAGAGAGGATATGATGCATGAATTGGTGCTGCAAAAGTTTCAGCCAGTTCCTTCCTTCAGATAATTTTTAACCATGAAACTTTGTAGATTTGCATATTTTCCACATGCATGCACAAATAGCATTGGAACACACTGAATATGTAAGTGACGAATTTGATGCTGAGACAGTTTTAGTCATAGAACATCCTTCTGTGAAATTGTAACCACGAATTTTTTGTTCCATACCACAACTCAGAACCAAAATACAAGATTGACTTACAGCTGGTTTGGCCAGAACACAGATGACACCCAGCGTAGAGCAAATATAAGGCACCTGCAAAACAGATGCAAGTTACACAAAACAAATTTTTGCAATTGTACCACATAAACCCATAACAATGCATCTCCAAGCTCAAATACATACCCACCAAGCCCATGCAACACCATAAAGAAAAGCCTGCAGAACAATTTTTCTTCAGAAATCGATAAACTGAATTTTGCAATAGTATACCTTAGATTGAAAACATAGCAAAGGATCCCGGAGCAATAACTCACATAGGCAATTGATGTGAGTATTGAAATGCATAATACTCCTTTTCCATCAATTGTGCGGCTAAGAAGAGGGAGGACCAAAATCTGCAATTTAGAAACATTATCGCAAGCTGCAAATCTAACAAATGATACTAAGCCATTAAAAATTATGGTGGCCAACAGGGTACTAGTTAAAACTAAAATTTCACCTGGGAAAAGATCGAACCAATATCTACCACCATTAGAATTTCTGAGAACTGATCCTTGTCAAAGCCAAATACTGACTTCAGGTAGTACTGAAAAAATGAAATCAAGTGCACAATTCTTTTAAACACTGTCATGAAGCTTTTTAGAGAACGTACTATGCACGTGTTTCATTAAGAGGAGGGGATGTGACCTCAAAAGTACAGAACAAAACAGAACACTGTCATGAAGTAGAAAGCAAGAAAATAATTACCAGAAGGACATCACTGATGCCAATCATTCCCAATTCATAGAAGAAAGAAATGACTGAGATTCGCCTAAGTGTTTCACTATAAACACAATAAAACAAGGAAGTTTAACAAAAATTGCATTAGCAGATGCAAACCACTGGCTGACTTGAAAACTAATTGATTGTCATTGTAAAGTTTCCGAGCATGAATAGATAAGTAAGTACTGCCTTATTCTTAATGGAATCAGTAAGTCTGCTTCTCATTCCTGTAGTCCCTTCATGAATGATTGAATGAAGGAAGAAGTTTCACTTAAACTCTGACAGAACTTTCATGATAGATATTTATGAACTCATATAAAACTTTATACATACTTTTTTGTTAAAAAAACGCCACATAGAAAAATACCTTTGCAAATATTTCTGGGACAAGTCATTATTGTTGTTAATCGTTCAAATACAAGTTTATTATCAATATTTATTCTATGAGAACTAGGAGGGTGACCTAAACTTCTTATAGTATTTGACATGAAATTTCATGAATTCCTTGAGTATTCAACTTCTTTAATTATAAAGTCAACTATGTATTGTCCGCAGAAGCCTTACCTATTTTTGATTATACTAATGTTCTCCTTCATAGAGTTCCACATTTGCTGCGGTAAACTAACAATCAAAGATGACAAATCCAAACGCTGACAAGGCGCAGAGGGAGCTCTTTGAACTGTTTCCACTAGATACAGAAGAACATATTGAGAACAGCTCACACACACAGAGCACAAGCCCAGCGCTGACCGAAAGCTCTGCTTCTGGATGTGACAAACTGAACTGATTTGCTGTATGACCTTGGAATAGCATATATATAGGTGCTTGTTACCTCTACCAGGTACGTAGTTGTTGGTGAGTACACCAACTACCTACTCCTAAGATACACCAACTATCTACTCCTAAGGTATAAGGCTTAGCTCAGCCATCTCTACACTACATGGTTGAAGTAAGCCATTCCTACTCCCTTACTGCAACAGCAGCAGGGACTGGACAACTGAGCCGACCAGTTCCAACTCCTAATCAGGGAGTGGACAGCTTAGCCCACCAGTTGAAATAGGGAGCAACAGATTATGTCTTATAATTCTTTCCCTAATCCTGTTGCTAACCCGATGTCTTGACCTCATCCATACCAATCATCTTCCTCAGCTCCATGAACCGCAGGCGCCCAAGTGACTTGGTGAGAATGTCAGCGAGCTGTCTGCCGGTCTCGACGAACTCGATGACGATCTGCCCTCCATCGATGTAGTCCCGGAGGAAGTGGAACTTGATGTCGATATGCTTGCTCCGGTCGTAGAGGACATGATTCTTGGCGAGGGCGATAGCGGGCTGGTTGTCTACCATCAGAGCTAGCGGGTGAGCTTCCTCGCCGGTTAGCTCGCCCAGCAGTCGACGCAGCCAGATAGCCTGACATGCTGCCATGGCTGCTGCGACGTACTCCTCCTCACACGTCGACAGCGCCACGATCTTTTTCTTCAGCGACTGCCAAGCATTGGGGCCACTCCAAGGAAGACGAGCACGCCGGAGGTGCTCTGTCGTCCATCAATGTTGCTCGCCATGTCCGCATCACTAAAGACAGTGAGCTCCGGCTCACCTTCCTTTGCCTTGGGGGTGCCTCACTGAAGACCGTGAGCCGCAACCCACCCTTGCCACCACTCTTGGGGAAGATGATCACTTGATCGAGCATCCCCTTGACGTAGCACAGCAGCCTCTTCATTGCCGACCAGTGATCCTCAAGCGGGTCCTCCATGAAACGGCTGACGTACCCGACCGCGAACGCGATGTCCGGCCGGGTATGCGTGGGGTAACGCAGCCCACCGATGATGCTCCAGTAGCGCGTCGCATCCACCTTCGCCGCCATGCTGTGCTTGGACAGCTTCAGCCGCTCCTCCATTGGAGTTGCGCACGGCTTGCACTCGGCCATGCCACTGAGCTCCAGCAGCTTCTCCGCATAGGCGCGCTGGCCTAGGGAGATGTGATCCTTCCCCTGTCTCACCTTAATGTCGAGGTAGTAGGAGAGCACGCTGAGATCGCTCATTTTGAAACGAGCAGCCATCTCGTGCTTGAAGTCGTCAATGTCCTCCGTCCGCACTCTAGTGACGATCAAGTCGTCCACATACACGCCGACGACGAGCTCCTTCTTCTCCCTTCGTCGCGTGTAGAGTGCGTGCTCCATAGCGCAGTGAGTGAACCCAAGCTCGCCCAAGGTGGTGTCGAGCTTAGCGTTCCACGCCCGAGAGGCTGCCGCAGCCCGTAGAGCGCCTTGCACAACTTGAGCACCTTGTGCTCAGCGCCCTTGACGGCGAAGCCCGGAGCTTGCTTGACAAAGACCGTCTCTGCGAGCTCGCCATTGAGGAACGCAGACTTGACGTTGAGGTGGTGGATGCGCCAATTCTTCGCTACTGCCATGGCCAACAGCAGACGAATGGACTCCATTCGCACCACTGGAGCAAAGACTTCCTCGAAGTCGATGCCCTCACGCTGTACGAAGCCGCAGGCGATGAGCCGAGCCTTGTACTTGACAATGGCGCCGCGCTCGTCCCGCTTCACCTTGTAGACCCACTTCAAACCGATCGGCCTGCAGCCCACCGGTGGATCTACCAGCTCCCATGTGCCATTGTCCTCGATGGCCTTCATCTCTTCCAACATCGCTCCTCGCCAATTGGCATCACGTTCAGCCACTACAAACGTCGGTGGCTCCTCGGCACTAACAAGCAGCAGCTCTAGATCATCGAATAGCCGACTTGCTAGGCCTGTGGCCCCTGCATTGCCGATGATGTTGTCCAGCCTGCGGAACCACACCTCCTCGCCATCGTGGAAGGCATCCACAAACTCGCTGATGTCGCTTGGAGGGGAGGTGAACTCGATCGGTGGTCCTCGGCCTCCCAGTTCTACCGGAGTGGTCGGCATCGCTGCTGGACCACTCAGCACCACTGCCGGAGTTGTCGGCATTGCCGCTGGACCGCTCGGCACCACTCCTGGAGTGGTCAGATCTACTGCTGGAGCGGTCGGCACCACTCCTGGAGTGGTTGGCTCCACTGCTGGAGCGCTCGGCACTGCTGCTGAAGTGCTCGGCACCCCCTCTGGAGTGGTCGGCATTGCTGCTGGACCGCTCGGCACCACTCCTGGGGTGGTCGGCACGTCTTCTCCAGCGTCTCCACCACCGTGGATGACTATGTGTTCGATGATGAAGGTGCTGCTCAAGCTGCCAGCTTCCCCAGTACCCGGACCCTCCCAGTCCCAGGCCGCCATCTCATCGAACACCACATCCCTAGAGATCATCACCTTGCCTCCCTTGGGATCATAGAGCCTATACGCCTTGGTACCCTCCTCATAGCCTAGGAGCACCACCGGCGTGCTCTTGTCTTCTAGCTTGCCGAGGTGAGGCTTGGTGTTCTTCATATGGCCGACGCAGCCAAATGTCCTGAGGAAGGACACATTCGGCTTGTGTGCATGCCAAGCCTCGAACGGCGTCTTGCCCTTCAGGGCCTTGGTGGGCGTGCGGTTGAGGATGAACACCGCCGTGGTCACCGCCTCTCCCCAGAACTTTGCCGACAAGCTTTTGGCCTTCATCATCGACCTCGCCATGCCGACCACCGTCTGATTCCGTCGTTCCACCATGCCATTCTGCTGTGGCGTGTACATCGCGGTGTGGTGACGCACCACCCCTTGATCCGCGTAGTACATGGTGAACTCCACCGAGGTGAACTCGCCGCCATGATCCATCCTTAGCACGCGCAGCTTCTTCCTGCTCTCGGCCTCCGCACGCGCCTTGAACCTCTTGATCGCCTCTGCCGCCTTGCCCTTGCTCGTCAGGAGTTGCAGCCACATGTAGCGGCTGCATTCATCCACGAGCAGAATGAAGTACTTGTGCCCATCGTGCGTTGCCAGCGTGATTGGCCCGCAGAGGTCACCATGGACTAGCTCAAGGGCCTCAGCCGCGTGGTACTTCGCCGTCTTCGGGAACGGCAACCTTCTTCGCTTCCTGGCCAGGCAGCTGTCACATAGCTCGTCGGTGTGCTCGATGTGAGGTAGCCCAGTCGCCATCTTCTCTAGCCGACCAAGAGCATCAAAACTGAGATGGCCATACCGGGCATGCCACAGCCACGGCTCCTCTGTGCACCGTGCAACAAAGCAGATGGGCTGCTCCACCTTCAAGTCAAGCAGGTACAGTAGGTTCCGGGACCTCTTCACCTTAGAAGAAGCCGCTGCTCCCGGTCCTAGATCCTGAGGACACCGTCCTTGATCAGTACCTCGTTGCCATGCTCATCTAGCTAACCAATGCTGATGATGCTTGAACATAGCTGCGAGATGTAATATACATCCGTCAGCGCGCGGTGCTCGCTGTTCTGGCACCTGAAGATGATGGTGTCGTGCCCTCGGATCGCCACCCTTGAGCTATCGCTGAACTTCACCGTGTCGGTCACGTTGCCGTCGAGCTCGGAGAAGCCTGCCTTGTAGCCCGTCATGTGGTTGCTGGCGCCGGAGTCCAGGTACCATTGCTGCTCCTGCTCGCCGCCCACATGTTCGAGGTGGACTTGGGCGCGTGGTTCATCGAGGTTGACAGCCTTCAGAGCCTTCCCATGCTCCTCCAACACCGTCACCTCTCCCTTCTCCTTGGCCTCGATGTCGTGTAGAGCACAGAACGTAGCCATCAGGAGAGTGGCCTCATCATCATCATCAGCCTATGCCAGATGAGCCTCAGCCTTCTTCTCCTGCTTGTGATTTGAGCACTCCTTTGTCCAATGGCCCGTCTTCCCGCAGCGTCGACAGGGGTTGGGGTCGACCTTTTTCTTCTTCTTCTTCTCTGAAGAAGCCTTGCCATAGCGCTTGCCATCGCCACCGCGGTTGGAGGAGGCTTCCCCGAACTTCTTCTCCTTCATCCGGGCAGCCCACTCCTCCTCTGTTAGTAGCAACTTGCTGCTGTCCGTCGTTGTTGTGGACTGCTCCATGCGCTCATCCACCGCCCGCAGACGGCCTGTCACATCCTCAATGGTGAGGGTGGACAGGTCCAGCATCGTCTCTATGGAGAGAGCGATTTGGATGTACTTCACCGGCACG